AGGGAGTGGTTTTTCCTCTCAGATATGCCATTTTGTTCTGGGGTGTACGGGACAGTGAGTTGATGTTCAATACCTTGTTCAGTTAAATACCTTTTTATGTCATGTCCCATGTATTCTCCCCTGTTGTCAGTTCAGACTGTATTTGGTATACAACATTTTCATAAGTCTTGTGTAGACTAACTAAAATCAACACAACCAAATCCTGTTCTGCAGTATCTTTGCCAGCACTTCTTAGCTCTTGACTCAGAGCAAGCAAGATTACCCCCTTCAGGCATCCTTATGCTAAATAGTTTCTTTTGGATATAGAGCTGGCTCTTTAGAGAGGAGTTAACATAAAGTCTCTCCAGTTCATTCCAGACTGCCTTTGCAGTTTGCATTTGAATGACTCACAAAACATTTCTATTGGACAAACCTTTTATTAATGCACCTCTTGCATGCTCATTGTGCATGTCCTAGGACTTCTGCTTTGCTGGGGTTTAATCTCCTGGCTAGGATTCATTGACATACCAGAGTCAAATTTCAAGCAAGTGGCTTTTCATTCTCTCCCTCCAGATGAGAAAACTGTTGTCAGTCAACCTATCTAGTAGGTAGTTGTGCTGAGATGTGCAGGAAGCAGCCATTTTGCAGTTTCTTTTTTCTTTTCTTTTTTTGTGTCCTGATCTATGTAATTTTTTCCCTTTTGCAGTGCTCACCCTGGGCCCAGAACCCTGTTGGCAGAGTTTAAACATGCAGAGGAATGGAACACCAACTGTTTAAAGAAAATAACTCGGTTTATTAAAAAAGAAATAAACTCTGATAGAACAGAGGAGAGGGAGGGAGGTTTAACTAACTAACTGCTGTGACAGACAGGAACAAAGGGGGGAGGGCTCAGTTGGAGCAAGAAGTTTCCAAAGAGCCAATCAGGAGAGAGGAAGGATAAAATTTAAAATTGTGGGAAGTCCCTAAACTAGATATGCTAACTAGACGTCCTTCAGTGGTCCCCTATAGGCTTTTCTTCTGATCTTCAAGTAGGTGAACAATAGACCTTGTATATTCCAACACCCTGGAGGTCTCCCATTCAGTCTGTGATCAGACCCAGACTTGCTATGTTTCTGTATCTTGGGTTTTCCAATCATACCTCTTAAACCTCCTTATACTAGGTCAGATCATTGGTCTACCAAGCTCAGTACTGTCTACTGTGATTAGCAGCAGTTCTCCAGAATGTCAGGTCAATAAAGGTATTTCCCACACCAGCTAAATGAGATCTGTTATCTGGTGGGATACAACCTGGTAGCTCGTTTGCATGTTGAACTATGGACTCCCTCTAGCAGTATATGAAACTGAAATATACAAAGACAGGCCATGGATCCATCTAGCTCATTATCATTTACTTAGAAGTTACACATATTATGGAGTACAAAGGCTGGGCCTGGGGGCTCCACCCTGAGTAACCTTCCCAAGGTTTCAGGCAAAGCCAGGGCATTTCCAGAACCTGCTTTAACTAAAGATGCCAGGACTGAACTAGGACTTTCTATGAGAAAAGCATATGCTCAACCACTGAGTCACAGTCCCTCCCATAAGCAGCTATACTTTATTCTTTGCTTTCCCACATACTCACCTTTTTAGGAGTTAACTTAAGAAGGAGGAGGAGGAAGAGGAGGAAGAAGAGATTGGGTTCACTCGGAGTCTCAGAGCAGTTTGCAAACTCCTTTCCCTTCCCCTCCCAACAAAAGACACCCTGTGAGGTAGGTGGGGCTGAGAGAGCTCTGAGAGAAACTGCTCTTTCAAGAACAGCTCTGACAGAACTATAGCTTTCCCAAGGTCATCCAGCAGCTGTGTGTGGAGGAGTGGGGAGTCAAACCCGGTTCTCCCAGATTAGAGTCCACACACTTAGCCACTACACCAAACTGGCTCTCAGCTGTAAACCCTTACACAGAGAGCCGTATCTGGGAAGTTTTAGGTGAAAACTCAGCTTGTTTTCAGTAAGTGTGCTGTTGTTCAGGTGGGTAGCTGTGTTGGTCTGAAGCAACATAACAAAGTTTGAGTCCAATGGCACTTTTAAGACCAACAAAGGCCCCGTTCACATGGAGCATTTGCCGCGCTAAAGATATGGATGATAGGCGGATTTTCCGGGCGTGATCACACCACAACATCTGGGAAGTGTAGTGCACCCGTGGCTAACCCGTGGCTTCATGCCGAAGATATGGAGTAAAAAACTAGTACTTACGATGTACTAGTTTCTGGAAACCGCGGGGCAAGGGCGGGCGTCTGATCGCGTCCCGTCCTAGTCCCATCACAAACATGCTCACCTTTTGGTGAGAAAAAAAACATTCCCGTTTGCCACGGAAGTGGCGCCTAGTGATTGCTGGTGTGATCGCACCACGCCGCTTCTTTGCATGGATAGCCGTGTGATTGGCACCTCACGCCCTAACCACGGGACCTCGACGGGACGTGTGATCGGGTGGCCGCATATTATTTTACTCTGGGGCAAACAGCCACTCTTCCCCCCCCCCCGCGCGCGCATTTTCTGGCCCATGTGACCGGGGCCAAAGTTTAATTCTGGGTATAAGCTTTCATGTGCATGCACACTTCTTCAGATACATTGGATGTGCATTAGGGATCTCAAGTCCCCCTGGGGGGCGGGGAAACCCCCGCCCCAGAGGCCCGTTCCCCGGCGCTGCCGGATCGGGCCCCGAGGGGAACTCCTCCCTGACGTGCGCGTCACCCAAAAGTGACATGGGCACGCCGGGCACGCTGGGGGCGGGGCCACGGCCATACAAGGGAAAACTCTATGGGTTTCCCTTGTATGGTCGTGGCCCTGCCCCCAGCATGCCTGGCGTCATAACGTCACTTCCTGGTGATGTATGTGCGGCGTGCGCGCGCTCCAGGATCCACCCGGGAGTTCCCCGCCGCCAAGGTAAGTTCCACTTGGCAACCCTAATGTGCATGTACATGAGAACTTATACCCAGAAATAAACTTAAAGGTGCCACTGGACTCAAACTTTGTGCTATTGTTGTGAGTTTAGCCAAAATGGATGTGTTTGGCCTACTGTACCTTTAACAGGATCAAGCCTAGGAGGAAATGGTCTAGCAAGTTTGCAGCAGCCAGCTGCACCAAGTGGCAGATTGGATAACACCCCCCATGTCACCACGAGACTCCCCAACCAGTGTGCTTCAATTCTTGAGTGTTTTTGAACCTTGAGTGTTTAAAAAATGTGATTTAAACCATAATCTATGTCCTTGCAACTTAGTTATTGAATTTAAGGTTCCCAGCCAATGGCTGGCATCTGGTGGGGAATGGGAGTGTGGGGACATGAGGGGGGTGAAGTCATGTTGCTCTAGGAATCATGAAAGAGATTCATAAAACAACATTTCATCACTTGTGGGTTTTCCCTCGGGTTGCCAGGTCTACTTACCCAACAGGTGGGGGTGGGAGTGGAAGGGAGCTTTCCAGGAGTGGGGAGGGTGGGGCGACGGCGCTGCATGTAGCGCATTGGTGTGATGATGTCATGCGGAAGTGGCATCATCAAGTTGGGCATGTTGTGCAGTGACACTCTAGCATTTTAGTCAAAACTGTATGGTGACCATAGATAAGGTAGTCAGCTGTGTTGGTGTGAAACAGTAGAACAAATTTAGAGTCCAGTGGCACCTTTAAGGCCAGGAAAGGTTTATTCAAGGCATGAGCTTTTGTGTGCAAGGCATTTGAAAAGGCATTTGGTATTTGAAAAAGTGTGCCTTGCACATGAAAGCTCATACCTTGAATAAACTTTTGTTGGTTTTGGTCAAAATGCATGACACGCCCAGAGTGATGAAGTCACTTCCATGTGACGTCATCGTGCCGCCGATGCCAACGCGGGAGGAGGCTGTTTGAGGTGGGGTTTCCTCCACTGGCCAACTGGCCAGCAGTGGATTGGAGCCCCTGAAATCGGGGGGAAACTCACCCTGACCGGGGGTCTGGCAACTCTAGTTTTCCTTGGAAATAATGTCACCTTGCACACAACACTGGTGGGGTAAGGTTGTTGTTTTTTTTTTTGCTCCTACCACTCTGAAAAGTACGCAGACAGAGAGTGATTTCAGCTTAGCGTACTTTATTAGATCAGGAACAAGATGACTTTAGCCGGCTCGCAGGCCGGCTTATATTCCCCATGAAACCGCCACCCATAACACACCCCTACTTCCCAATAGGTTATTTACAGTGCCCGAGAGTTCCATAGGCTCTCGGTCGGGAACCTAGCCTTCTGATTGGTGCGGGCTAGGATCCACATAGTCCATTGTCTTTTCAAGCAAAGCTCAACATTGGCGCTTGACCGCGTGGAGCCCAAGCTGGCCACGCGGTCTGAGCTGAGTATATTACACCCCTCCCCCCTTGGTCCGCAAAACACCCACAGACAAAGTCCTTCAGATGGGTTGGCAACTTCCTGGTGCGGGTAGAGTGGTGAAGTTCGGGAACTGCTGCTGACTCCGCCCCTGAAGCCCTTGGAGGCAAGCTGACCGGAAGAGGGGCGGGGGGGGGCGGTGCCAGCGTCCCCTGTGTCGCCGGAAGAGGTGTCCCGGGTGCGACCAAGGGTAGAGGCCGGTGTTCGGCTGCCGGTGGTTGGGTCAGGGCTGAGGTATCCGGGGCCTCTGCCTTGTCCAAGTCCTCAGGATCCAATGGCATTGTCCGGCAGCGTAACTGGTCAATGTGCCGGTATAGAATCTGCCCGTCTTCACAAGAAACCTCATACGATCTTGGACCCTTAACTCGTATGACTCATGCCGGAATCCAGGCTGGTCCCTGGGTGTAGTTCCGTGCATACACAGGATCCTCCGGGAAAAATCCCCTGGCTGCCTTGTGTGTCTCGGTGCATGGTGCCTCTGCAGAGGCCTGGTCAGGGTGCAGGCAATCCAACCAGGTTGTCAGGCGGCGGCCAAGAAGTAGCTCTGCCGGACTGCGCCCCGTAGTGGTGTGGGAGGAAAGCCGCCAGTTTATAGTCCCAGTCCGGGGAGTCCAAGCGGTGGAGAGTGTCCTTCGTGGTTCTGACCATGCGCTCTGCCTGGCCGTTGGTGGTGGGGTGGAATGGGGCAGACTGGACGTGGCGGATACCGTAGTACCTCGTGAAGTCCTGGAACTCCGTGGACGTGAATGCCATCCCGTTGTCTGTGACCAGCATGTCTGGGATTCCCTGGGCGCTGAAGATCCGCCACATCGCCCGGATGGCTGCCTTCGAGGAGGTTGAAGGCACAGGAACTACCTCCAGCCACTTGCTGAAGGAATCCACCAGTATAAAGAAAAGTTGCCCCTGGAACGGTCCCACAAAGTCCAAGTGTAACCGGGACCAGGGGCGGTGGGAAGATTCCCAGGCCCGTTCCGGGGTGCGGGGTGGCTCGGGCCGGGACGCTTGGCAAGGTTGGCACCTCTTCACCACGTCCTCTATGTCCCGGTCCATCCCCGGCCACCAGACGTAACTCCGGGCCAGGGCTTTCATGCGCATCACCCCGGGATGCGCTTCGTGAAGGGCTGCGAGGACCCATTCCCAAAAGGGTTTAGGAATGACCACTCTACTTCCCCACATGACACAGCCCTTGTGGACAGACAGCTCGTCCTTCCGAGAAGTAAAAGGCATAAAGTCAGGGTCTCCTTTGGCCGCAGGCCATCCCCTCACCACCCAGTCCAAGACCCGGCAAAGTACCTTGTCCCTGGAGGTGCAGCGGGCCACCTCCGCAACGTGGACTGGCTGATCCGGGAGGGATTCCAGGAGAGCGATCTGGTGGGTGGGAGCAGGATCCGGGTCACAGACCGGCAGCGGTAGGCGGCTCAGGGCGATGGACAAGAGAGTAGGAGTACCCCGCCAGGAAAACAGACCAGCGGAGCACCCGGGGGGAAATCATCTGAGGGGTCTGGCTGTTGGGGGCCAGAAGGCCCAGCAGCAGCTTGCGGTCTGTAAGGACCGTGAAGGGGCACCCATACAGATAGTGGTGAAATTTTTTCACCCCTGCCACAATCGCCAGCGCCTCCTTATTTATCTGCACGTAATTGCACTCAGCCACAGATAGAGTCCTGGAATAATAGGCAACTGGGACCTCGCGGCTGTCTGGCAGCCGGTGGCCCAGGACCACTCCGACCCCGTAAGGGGAAGCGTCACAAGCCAGCACCACTGGGAGTGCCTCATTGAAATGCACTAGGACCGCATTTGAAATGAGCAGGTCTTTGACCGCCTGGAACGCAGCAGCTTGTGGCGGACCCCAGACCCAAGGTGCAGACTTGTCCAGGAGGCGATGGAGTGGTTCCGTGACGGCAGCTTTGAGGGGCAAAAAGGAATGGTAGAAGTTCAGGAGCCCCAAAAAAGCCTGCAGTTCAGCCTTGGACGCCGGAGGCGGCGCTTGTGTGATGGCGGTCACCTTGTCCGCGGTGGGGTGGATGCCGGAGGCGTCGACCGTGAAGCCCAGGAACTCGACGCGAGGCACCCCCAAGAGTCACTTTTCCCATTTGACCTTGAGACCTGCTGCATCGAAGCATTGTAGTAGGGCCCGCAGATGGTCAGCGAAGGAAGAGTCGTCCGGGGCGGCGATCAGCACGTCATCTAAAAATGGCTGAACCCCGGGGATACCTTTCAGGAGGGAATCCATAAAAGATTGAAAAATTCCCGGCGCGACTGAGACCCTGAACTGAAGGCGGTGAACCTTGAATGCCCCCCCGGTGTGTCGTGATCGTTTGAGCTTCAGCCATAGCAGTATCAAACGGCAGCTGCTGATATGCCTGGGCCATGTCCAACTTGCCAAAGACCCGAGCCCCCGCCAAAGCTGCCAACACGTGGCTCACCACCAGCACCGGATAAGTGTGTGCCTGTAGAGCCTTGTTAAGTGTGCATTTGTAATCTGCACAAATGCGCATGTCCCCGTTTGGCTTAACTGGTGTGACTATGGGGGTCTCCCACCGTGCAGACGCGACCAGTTCCAGAACCCCTTGTTCCACCAGGCGATCCAGCTTGGCCTCAATCTTAGGCTTTATTGCTAGTGGCAGCAGCCTGGCCTTAATGCGAATGGGGCGCACCGCCGGGTCAAGGTCCAGGGAGATAGGGGGGCCAGAGAAGCATCCCAGGGTGCCATCAAAAACGTGGGGAAATTCCGCACACACTATGCCAAAATCCTGTGATCGGACCTGGTTGATTCCATTCAGAGAGAGTCCCAAGCCCTCGAACCAAGAGAGTCCCAGCAGGCTGGAGAGTGGCCTATCCACCACCAGAAGGTCTAAGGGGCCGTTAAAGTCTTGGAACTGCACCCGGAACTTGTCCCAGCCCCATACCGCCACGGGGTTCTTATTGAAGTCCCGTAACCGGAAACCCAGCGGCTTCTGAAGGCTGGGGACACAGCATGCGGAGCGTATCCGTGGAGATAATGGAATAGGTCGACATGGAATAGGTTTGGTGGCATGCACGTCTGTTATTCCCTTTCGGAAGCCAGGAGGTACCTGAGTCTGGCCAAGGGATATGGGCGTGGGTTAGGGTTGCTAATCTCCAGGTGGGGCCTGGAGATCTCCCAGAATTAGAACAGATTTCCAGGCAACAGAGATCAGTTCCCCTCGAGAGAATGGCTGCTTTGCAGGGTGGACTCTGTGGCATTACACCCCACTGAGGCCTGGCCCCTCCCCCAAACCCCTTCTTCCCCAGGCACCACCCCCCAAAAAATTTCAGGTAGCTCCCAGCCCAGACTTGGCAACCCCAGGTTGGATCCAGACTAAATTTTCTGCTGATGGAAGACACTTCCTCCAGGGGAACAGAACATCCCGGACTGCCCCCATCCCACTGCAGCTCGTGGGATCTCCCTGAAATGCTGCTTCTGGGGCACAGGGAACCCACGAGAGGTAAAATCAGGGGTCTGCATCAAAAAGAGGGGATTACCCACCCCTTCCATTAGCAGAAAATGTAGACTGGATCCAACCTGTCTGCTCTCTTTCCCACAGTAATCTTTCTTTGCCCTCAGTTAACTGCTTGAGATCTGTCAAACCCCAACTTGCTAGTCTTTCCCCAGGCAATACAAGATAGCTTCACTGTGATTTGCATTTGATTTGCTTTTATTGTCTTTATGCTGCAACCCGTTCTCTTTGTTTACATTTCTGATTTATTGGTCGCTGCTGCTGGATGCTTTGCTGTAAGCCTCCGCGAGCTCTTTGGAAGTGATGGAACAAGGGGGGGGGGGGAAGATTCTAGAATAACTATGCATACTTTCCCACAAGCCTCCATCTGGCAGATGCTGTTTCATTTCCTGTCCCCCCCCCACCCCCACCCGTGGGGCTGGCATGGCCTTGGAAGAAACAGAATGGCATTTATTTATTTCATGTTTTTATTTAGAAAAGATATATATGCCGCTTCCCCAGAGGCCTGCTTGCGGCGGCTTGTGACTATAACCAAAACTATTAAAACACAGCCATTAAAGAAAAGCTATTGAAACCAAGCAAGCTAGGGCATAAGAACAACATTAAACATACACTGAGCAGCTATCGCTTCCATTTCAGGCTTCCAAGCCCCTAGTGGGGGCCAGAGATTTCCTGCCCTTAGGACCCACTGCCTGCCACTGCTTGGACCAGTAGCAGGAGAAAAAAATTAAGGGGTGGGGACAGCCTTGTGTACTTACAAGACGTTCTTACTAGAACTAACAGAGAACAGCTCTAGGAATCACCAAAACCCTATGGTAAAACCATAGAGTTTCTGGCAATTCCTAGAGCAACCCATTGTCACCTCTGGTAAAAACTTTAGTAAGTACATGAGGCTGCTTTTTTAAAAAATATTTCCCATGGCACTATACTCCCCCCTCCCTTCTGCTGGTTGCCAGGCACAGGTTCTTTGTAGGGGGGTTCAACTGATTCCTCCTTGACCTTTCAGCTTCCTTATTTCTATAGACGGTATGGGCACTTATGGAGACTGACAGTGACTCTCCTTGGACAAGGTCTAATGAGCAAACAAGTCCCGAGCCCACTCTGATCCCTGGGGACTTGCAGGGCTGGGCCCCAACTAACGCTAATGAGCAGACTGTGGCAGTCCCAAGGAACAGACTTCGGCGAACTGAGCGGCGTTCGTTCCTGTCCCAGCATGCCTGTTTGTCTAAAGCACCCCAGGGGCCCAGCTGGGCATGGACCAGAGCCAACAGCAAGCCGTTGAGCCTCTCAGAGACACGCAGCGCGTGCAGAAGGGTTAATTGCACACATCTCTCTACCTGGGCTTCTTTGGGTGATTCGAGGGTCTTGACACGATCTTGGGGCAACTGGGTCTGTAAAGGCAATCGATGCATAAATATTTCTGGAAAGGACATGGCAGGAAGGAAGCTGGTTTGTGAAGGGCAGCCAGAGAGAAGCCCGAGAGTTTGTCGGGGCTGTTGGGTCACAACTTTGTTCCCTGCTAGGAGGGGAGGCGGTGAGCCTCATAGCTTTGATCTGCTTAAGCAGCTGCAGGTGAACGAGGGGCCAGACCGGTCCATAATACTAAATCATCATGAGGGACTTATTCTGCCTGGCTAGCTTACAACCTAAGCATCCCACTGATAACTATCTGAGTCAGAGGAATGCAAAGTGTATTTCTACTCATTCTAAAAATAAAACCCAGATCGTTTCATTTTGGTGATTCCCAAAGGCTTGAAAGCCCTTTGACTGCTGCATCCAATAGGGCCACAGCTCCAATGTGTCAGGAGGGGCTGTGGCTCATTGATGGAGAGCATGCTATCTCTGACATTAGCAGTTAGAAAATGCAGCAGGGCTGGCGGAGGACCCCCCTGCCTTCCTGAGACCCTGGAGAGCTGCTGCGCATCAGAGGAGACACTGCTGACCTTGATGGACCAATGGTCTGACCGAGTATAAGGCAGCGTCATGTGTTCTTGTTAAGGAGGTGCTGTGGATCATTGGCAGAGCATCTGCTTGGCATGCAGAAGGTTCCAGATTCAATCCCTGGCATTTCTGGTTAAAAGGACAAAACAGTAAGTGACCTCTAGCTGGGACTCTGAAGAGCTGCTGCTTCCAGTCTGAGTACAGACCTTGATGGACTCAGTCTATATAAGGCAGCTTCATGTGTTCATGGGGATGAAGGTTGTTGCTAGCACATGTGCATTGGTTTGGCACCCTGTGCAGCATTGCCAAAGATCTTGGGCTACTCTGCTAAGACTATGTGGTGCAGCCTGCATGACAGACCTGGCATCAGCGCCAGATCCAGGGGATCTACCAGGGCCTAGGGCTTCTAGCAGGGCCCACTGGCACTGATCCCCCTGCGCCCACACACCTCCTCTGCCCCCTGCCTCTTGCCCATCCCTTGACCACTCACATGCAAGCCCTGTGCCCCTGGCTACCTGGGCCTAGCACTGCCAGCGAAGAGCATACAGGTGGGGCAAACAGTCCTCCTAATGGTCACAGCAGTGGCACTCCCAGTCACATACACCACTCAGTGCCATTGAGGAAAGGGCATGCAAGTGGCTGTGAGTGTGGGCAGTGGGAGGGGTTGTAGGGTTGCCATCCTCCAGGTGGGGTCTACAGATATCCTGAAATTACAACTGATCTCCTGGTGACGGGTAAGTTTAGGGTTGCCAGGTCCTACCTGGCAGCCATCGGGGGGCTTCCGGGTCTTTCTCAGGATCTTCTTCTGCG